TTAATTAAGTTCATTAAGCGTGTGTGTGTGTGTGTGTGTGTATCTACGCATATTCCGCAACACTGTGGGAAAAGCAGCAGTCCAAGACAAGCTAAGAGAGGAAGCTGAATACTGCAGAAGTGTGAAGCTTAAAATAGGACTTGTAACAAAACCACAAACTCAAAAAAAGCTCAGTTATGTGAGAAAGACAGAATCTCTTAATTCAGAAAGTCTCAATTAAATGTGACCGAAAGGCTGAAATTGAGGTCTTAGATGTTTGCGCTCATACAAAGAGTGTTCTGGTGATTTACGTTCGGTTTAAGGTGAGAGAAACTGTAAAATGGTACTTTCAATGTGTGTGTGTGTGTGTGTGTGTGTGTGTGAGAGAGAGAGAGAGAGAGAGAGAGAGAGAGATTGAGAGAGACTGGGGGTCCTATTACTAAAACCCAAGACCTCCAACCCCTGATGACCCTTTCGCAGGGTGAAAGCGCAGCAGTCCGCTGTAATTATTGGAGGAATATTTGGTTTAAAAATATCACCCCACCCGGCACCCCTTTCCTGGGATGTCAATCGAGATTGAAAAAAATAAAAACGCCCTAGTTTAATTTAATCAACTGCTTTTACCTCAATAGCCAACATGGACTGGCTTATGTTACAATGAGAACATGTGTCATGTCATTAGAACCATGATATGGGCAGCTCGCTCAAACACACACACACTTTCCTCAGCCTGATTTCAGGTTCCTATTGACATATCCGAAATCGAATTAAAACAGATTGAGCATTGGTAGAAAATTACACCTCTGCTGATGCGCTTCCTAATAAAACAGCCACTGATATGGGTCACAGCACTGGAAAAGGCATTAATATAAAGCAGACAGCTGAGAAAAGCATGAGAATGGTCTATGAAAGATGAGCTTGTGCGCGTATTAATGCATTTCAGTTGTCAGAGGCATCAGGAAACCGTGACTGGGAAGTGTAAATGCATTGTGTGTGTTTGTGGGTTTATTTATGATCTCACAGGCATCAGAACAGCAGACGATCCTTGCATAGTCGGGTCAGGCAACGTGCCAGGCATGGAGGCCGGCAGTGGCTGTCGCTGTCTGTTCCTCAGGTGCAACAACGAGGAAAGGGAACCAGGCACTGGCCTAAGAAAGAAAAATGAAGGAAAAGTGAGATTAACTGGTTTCATCAGATGAAACTTCAGAAGAAAAATGACATGAAAAAACATCTGCCATTATAAGGAAATTGTACCATATAGAATTCAGTTCTCGTTTCGATTTGTCATAGTTCCTAAGAATTTTCAGTGCCTCATTTGGTCTTACTTAAAGGTACAGTTCATAGAAAAATTACAAATCTGTTAGCATTTACTCATCCTCATGTTGTAAGTATTTAGGAGTTATTTAGAAGAATGTCCAATGTCCATATCCTATATTTATTTATCTGATATTTTAAGACACATATTGACTTTAAAACATAGTTATGAGGGCCTGTAGGTTTTCAATATCCTCATGTCATTGACCCTAATAACAGAATTAAATTTTTTGGGTGAACTGTCCCTTTAAGATATAGTCAGGCATGCACAACAAGGCTTTCCCAGCAAGAGACATTGTGCTGGAAGCCCTCAATGGAGGTTTACTGGCTCTTGCCTTAAGGCTGATCAAACCCTGCATTCTTCAATGAAAGCATGGGTGTGGATGAATACAAAAAAAGATGCCGAGGTGAATTGGACATATTAGATTGTTACAAATCTCTCTCATAGTCTGCAATCTCATGAGAGAGTTTAATAGCATAATACAATCAACATCTATAAAACGTTCTCTCATACAGATAATGCACTAAACAGAGCCTCAGCTGTGGCTCGCAATATGTAGTTTCAACACACCAACCACACAACTTCCTCTCTGGGTTGGCACGAAGCAACTGACCGCACTGATATTTAGGCAGAATGTGTCTAATATAGCACTCACTAACTTCACCATTATACCACCTATAGACTTGGACCACCACACAGTGTGGAGAAACGCAGTTTGTCTGAATAACCTTTAGCCTCAAATGACAAGCATTATTTCAGTCTGATTGGAGAGCTGACGGACAGCTGAAAGGGAAAGGGAAGGGTCCCCACTTGAACAAATACCTGTATTTATCCGGCCTAAATAGCAGCATTTACACTGCATGATTACTGTGTACGCATACACACACACACACACATGCACATACGGTCATTAACACTCTGACATATTGTCATTTGTGTCTAACACTCCAATCCATCACATGCTTAACAACCTCACATCTCTGAAACACACACATATACACACCCTGTTGTGATTTGCCTCATTTTTTAATGGAATAGTTCACCCCTAAATAAAACTCACATTTTCTTTATCATGGGAGGAAAACTACTATTTTCCAAAGTAAAGGTGAAGCGGGCAGTCAAGCACCAAAATCTACAAAATAACAACAACAATAAACTACCATAAATATCTATTTCCTCATGTTTGTATTAAAAGTTGCCATCTGATTGCTTTGTGAGCAACAGACAAACTGAAACTATTTTCTAGAAATATTCCCCTCAGCTATCAAATCTCATTTGTGTTTGCATACATTCAAGTATGCAGTGTCAAGATGTCACAACAGGTTTCTCAAAAACAAATGTGTGGCTTCTTAATACTTGAAATAGTGCATACAAACTTCTTTTATTGGACTTTCTTGTCATATTTGGAGCTTGAAAGCCCCAAACTCATTCACTTTCAAATTCCTTTTTTTATTGTGTCACAAAAGGCAGTATGTGAAAATGGCATGAAGGTTTAGTTTAGTTTAGTTTCTTATATAGCACATTTCTACTGCCTTCGGAGCAGCCCAAAGTGCTGTACAATGGATTCAAGAAAACCAAACAAAGACAATAACAAACACAACATCTTAAAAAAGAAAACATTCATTACATCTCTCCTAAATCAGACTCAAACGCCATAATATAAAAGTGCTTCTTCAAAGCCGTTTTAAAGGCGAACACAGAGGGGGCATGGTGAATGTCTAGAGGTAGATTATTCCATAGCCGAGGACCGGCAATCGAAAAGGCCCGATCACCTTTTTCGCTTAAGTCGGGACCACAGTACCTGGAGCAATAGTTTATCAGCAGATCTCAAGTTCTTAACAGGTTTATGTAAAGTAACAAGGTCTGACAGATACGAAGGCGCGAGACCGTTTAAATTATTACTAGGGCCTTAAAATCAATCCAATATCTAACAGGTAACCATTGCAAGGATGCTAAAATTTTAGTTTTTCTATCCCTCTTTCTCCTACCAGTCAATAGCCTGGCAGCAGCATTTTGAACAAGCTGTAATCGATTTACCAATGACTGAGAAATTCCTAAATATACAACATTACAATAATCCAATCTAGATTATATAAAAGCATGGATGATTGTCTCCAACTTTCTACATGAGCTACATCGTAGCTATTAACCTTAAGTAGTAGAAACTAGTTTTCACCACAGTATTAACTTGTTTTACAAAACTCAGCTCTGAATAAAAAAATACACCCAGATTTTTTTGCGTATGGATGAACATTTCTATAAAGAGGCCCCAAATAACTAGAAATAAGGGGTGAAGAACCAAGAGGACCAAAAACAACCACATCTGTTTTGCTCTCATTTAAATTGAGAAAATTCTTAGCCATCCAGGATTTTACATCCTCGAGACACTTGACAATTGTAGCACAGGACTTATCAACTGGGTGTACTAGAGGTAGATTATTCCATAGCCGAGGACCGGCAATCGAAAAGGCCCGATCACCTTTTTCGCTTAAGTCGGGACCACAGTACCTGGAGCAATAGTTTATCAGCAGATCTCAAGTTCTTAACAGGTTTATGTAAAGTAACAAGGTCTGACAGATACGAAGGCGCGAGACCGTTTAAATTATTACTAGGGCCTTAAAATCAATCCAATATCTAACAGGTAACCATTGCAAGGATGCTAAAATTTTAGTTTTTCTATCCCTCTTTCTCCTACCAGTCAATAGCCTGGCAGCAGCATTTTGAACAAGCTGTAATCGATTTACCAATGACTGAGAAATTCCTAAATATACAACATTACAATAATCCAATCTAGATTATATAAAAGCATGGATGATTGTCTCCAAATTTCTACATGAGAGCATTGGTTTAATCGTAGCTATTAACCTTAAGTAGTAGAAACTAGTTTTCACCACAGTATTAACTTGTTTTACAAAACTCAGCTCTGAATAAAAAAATACACCCAGATTTTTTTGCGTATGGATGAACATTTCTATAAAGAGGCCCCAAATAACTAGAAATAAGGGGTGAAGAACCAAGAGGACCAAAAACAACCACATCTGTTTTGCTCTCATTTAAATTGAGAAAATTCTTAGCCATCCAGGATTTTACATCCTCGAGACACTTGACAATTGTAGCACAGGACTTATCAACTGGGTGTAATGGGACATACAATTGAGTATCGTCAGCGTAGCAGTGGTATGCAATCTCATATTTCCTAAAAATACTCCCCAAAGGTAACATATAGAGGGAAAACAGCATTGGACTTAATATGGACCCTTGTGGGAGCCCTGAAGGAGAAGAATAATTACCCATTGTAACAGATACAGATAAGGTGAGTATAAGTTGACAGAATATTAATTTTGCAGTGAACTATTCCTTCACTCTAAAATATTTACCAAAAAAAGGGGTAAGAGGCTAACAACATTAGCATTCTGCTAATAACAGAAAACCTGCTCTCAATAACCGCCACTAAATACCAAAACTGCATCCAAAATTGCATACTCTCTAAGTAGACTTTTGAATTTAAGTACTTACTTTGCGACTTTTAAAAAGTACATTCTACTTGGTTGCAGTATGAATGTAATCCGGACATACTATTCACCATGTTGTCATTTTATCATGTTGCATCTCTTCACTGCCATTCACAACTTTTCTCATGGTCTTATGAGTCCATTGGACGCACACTTTAAAATCTTGGCCAACTTAGTAGGTAATTCAGACACTTTTTGCATACTGTTTTATGGATAAACTTGGACATACTACTCTTTTCACATACTGTTTTTCTACTTTATATTAGGGAAGTACTGTATGCATAATCAGAGGCAGCCTGAGCTTGTCTCCTTTTGTTTTCTAGTGTAAAATAAATATAAGGGAATTTTTAGATGGTGAAAAAGGATTTACATTATTGTGGTGGTAAAAAGCCACAGCTCAGCTCTGAACCACCATTCAGCCAAAATAGTGTGAAGAATAAAATAGCCTTGGTCTGAAAGAAAAAGAGAGTGGGAAACAGAGAAACAGAGAGCGGGGCAACTCTCTACGGGCCAGTCCCGCTGCACATTAAAACTCAGCGAACAGGAAACGTTCCTAATTAAGTGCTCAACCTGGCCAACGGGAAGAAAGACGCTTTAGACGCTGTACAGGTTCCCTGTCAAACTCGCTCACCTACTACTCAGCAAGAGAGAGAAATAAAAAGTGTGTGTCAACAGAGAATAAAGCCTGTTATGAAAGGGCAAAATATCATAAGACAAAAACTTTCCATACTCCCAGAATTACTGCACATGTGGGTGTACGTCAAGTGCATGACTGTCTGTGTGTGTTAGTGTGTGTATGGTGAATTGTATATTTTGTATTAATGACAGGCTGTCATTTCAGAGGGGATAATAAGACCCCCGGAGGGTGAGGGGTGGGCATGCGTACACAGTCAAAAACACACACACACACACACTCTCTCACACAGTGCAATCCTGACCCTCTCCTCTCACATTACACACACTGTCTCCCTGTTCTAACATGACATCACTCCTCCCTTTCTATTCCTCGCTGTCTTTTCTCTTTTTCTCTCTCGATTTCAGCAAGATCCACCACTATCATTCTCTCTCTGAGTTAACAGACACCAAACCCAACATCACTGACCTTCCTAGAGAGCCTCGAGTCTTAGAGAGATTAAGATGTCACTCTATACTCTCCTTGCATATAGGGCTATTGCATCACAGGGTAATCTACAGTCTCATGGTGACTTACTCAAGTATTTACAAACAATACATAATGCATTCTAATAGAGAATATAGGGGCCCTACTCATGAAACACAAGCAGAATTTCTGCATAAATCATTGTGAAATGACTGTTATGTA